CTATTAGCTAGCTTAGTACTAGTTATTAGCTGCAAACAGTTTTTTTTTTTTTTGGTTACTGAAGAGTTTTTGTTATAAAGAAAACTATTTTTTCAAATTTTTATTAAAATAAATACAAAGATAGTTGGAAGAGAATGATTAAAAACACTGAAAACAAGTTATCAACTTAAGATGCTAAATTAGAAACTCATTATAAGACACATCATCATTTTCTAGGGTTTGTGTTCGACCGCCTAAGAATATTAGAATAATTTCTCAACATATTTTTTTTTAACACAAACTTTGAGAGCGTTCAACTACTCTAGTGTAAGGACAAAGATATCATTAACCTTTACGAATGCGTGATCGTAGTAGAAAGTTAGCATTACACTGGTTGGTTAATTAGCATCCCTTGAACAAGAGGAGTATATTGAGCATTTCTTCTATGCTGTGAATTCATTTTCCGTTAGGATAAAAATATGTGGTGGTAAAATATATCAATCCAGTTATGCAGTGAATTTGTATCGAATTGGGTAAGGATATTTAAACAAAGATTGACTTTAGTCTTTCTCACTCTAATTAATTAGTCTTGAGTTACTAGAACCGCTAGAGCTAAACCAGCCGGGACAAAAAAGAAACTTGCTTTTACTGTGGAAATTCTAAACAAACTCTAAGAAGTTGTTTGTAGTTCTCATATTGCGACTGACATTATTATTTTGATGCATAACTAAAACTTAATATTTATTTGTTATCGAAAAGATTTAACGGTTAATTGTTTTCCTTTTAGTCAATATATTTTCTTCTCCTCAATTGTTTTTTTTATCTCCTTCCTCTTGTTCTTCTCACTACTTATCTTCATTTTACTCTTGTTCTTCTCACAACTTGTCTTCATTTTACCTGAAACAAATTAAACACATAGAGTTAGCAGGATTAAACATTATCTCGATATTAGATTATAAAATGATCAAAATAAAATATTATACCAGTAGCATGACCATCATTGTTGGGGCTGGATTAATCACCGAATCCGCCCGACATAAAACCTCAGATTAAAACTTGTGTTCGCGATATGTTGACTAGAATCGATGGGCCTGCGGCCCAAACCCGAACAGTTAGATGATGTTTGTCTTAGGGCCCAGGGCAGCCCCGAAAAAGCTGAGTCAACAAGTGCATAAATAACGAACTGAGGATGAGCTAGGAGCGAGTCAACAGAGCAGTTATCTCTGTCGTAGGAGCGAAATTTACGGGGAATATGCCAAGATCGTGCCCGAGATACGCGGAACCGTCCTAGGTACGTGGAGCTGGATCGAGGAGCTGAATGAAGCTATAAATAGATGAAGTTCGAGCAGATTTCGCCAACTTTTAACACAGGCGAGAGCTAAACACTATATTTCAGCTTGTAATACGTCTCAGATGAGATCTTATTGTATATTTGATTCGTATCAATATAAATCCAGCTCCATTCTACTCTTCTTTTAATCATTGAGCTTATAGATATTTTTTAGGACTAAAGTTTCTTCTCCGAATTCACATACAAATACTCAGTGCGGAATTCAGCTTCCACATTTGGCACCGTCTAAGGGGGGAACTAGATACGTCTAGCACAGAAGTTTAACCTAAGATCTGTTAGAGGAGAGATAGAAAAATCAAAGTCTACCACGCCAAAAGCCAGCAACGCACTGGCCGCGACTACCCATAGTCAAGAACCATTTGGATCCCAGCCGCGGGACCAGATCATAATCAGAGCCAACAACCGACTAACAACAGCAAGCCAGACTGACCTACGCCTGCCGGCAAAGGTCACATCCCCAGATCTCGCTGCAACTTACCCAGTGCCCTCACGAGGCGTCTGGATAAGAAGTCCGGACATCTCCACGGACCAAGCGTTCGGAGGTCTCCAGGACACCCTCGCTCCGTAACCTCCCACTGGAAAAAAAAAGCAGATGAGAGACGAGATGACCGAGATCCGTCGACTGTTTACCTTGGTAGAAATAGTGCAGACATAGGACACCTCTGTCAGGATAGTTTAGGCCCGACTCGAGTAACAGGAGAGATCGTTCCTAGCTCAAATGCGAGCAGGAGAGGTCGTTCCTAGCTCAAATACGGGAGATCTCCCAATCGGCCGCCCAAGGAGCTCAGCCCCAAAAGGTTGGCGGAGAGGAGATTACCCCTCCAAGATTCACAACCCCTCGGTCGCGCTTAGATTTTTCAGGGATCTTCGCCACCCCTACCAATGCTAACACATATCCTGCGTTCAACCCGCGCACAAACTCGTTGACCATAACCGTGAACATCCTCAGACCGAGCTCGCGTAACGACTCCACTAGGATTAATTAATAGGCCCTCCCACCTCTGCCTCGCTTGGAGAATGTTCAAAATATCTTGACCGAGGAAGTAGGGGCTACACCTCAGACATGAACGTATGCCGCTCACCAAGATGCCACAAAAACAACCGACAACGATATGTTCCGATGGTATGCCGAACAAACTCAAGCCGAATTGCGATTCATGAGATCTTGTGTCCAACGGGTGATAAGTTCA